CCAGCAATACTAATAAAGGCGGCATTGTCGTCATGATTTAATTCTGCAGAGCGGCAGTGTGACATCATCAACTTGCTTCCTTCAAACGACAGTGGCCCTATTGCACTTGTTGACAATACTGTCATGTTCAGCGTCAACATGGCACTGCAAGAGTCTCTAGAGGTACGCCTCACGACCACACCCACCTCCGACGACGGGTACATCTTCAAGATTGGAGCCAGTAATGTCACATTAGTTCGTGTGCAGTCAGCTAGCGAAACGTCGCTTAAAGTGGAGAACATCCCCGGCATTCTTGATGTGGGCTGGCGCACACTCTGGCTGGATTACCGCTGTACGAGTGTAATTCTGGGCTCAGGAAACACTGTCATTCTAAAGTACAATGACACCGATAATCATCAGATGATTCACTTCATCAAGTTTAACAGGTCATTGAACAATCAGACCATTTTGCTTTGCAACAGACAAGGTATTTGATGTTGTTTAATTTTTTTATACCTTAAGAAAAAAGCCGGGACATTGCTTATTCATAGAGCGTATTCACTCACGTGGCCAACAGCCATGCAAATTTATTACATTAAAAGAAAGTGTTTACATAAGAAAAGAGTTGAACTCCCACAGGATTGGTTTGGTACACCAACATGGCGGCCATTTCATTGTTTTGGAACACCAATAAAGCTACCGTGACGTCAATTTGAAAACGCTCTTTAGCCTGCTTTGTTACACTTTGTTGACATGCGAAACGTGTACAGGTAAAATCAGACAAAGTACGTTTTGTACTATGCAATAAATCGGGTAAGATACCATCTTAGATAAGATGGTTCGACGAGTAATACCGCTGTTCATGTTTGCTAGTCACTTTTTACAGCAGTGACTTCTTACGCTGTTGGCTCTTCAACCCTGCTCGTAAAACAATGCAATTATTCTACCCACTCGACATCCCGCCCTGATTATTAAGTCTTGTCATGGTTACGTGATGAACTCTGTTATCCTTATAGATCAGTGTCACAAAAACGCAACTTATTACTGGCCATTGGACAAGGCAGTTGGTGACGTTCTTCTTGACGTCCAAGGCAGAAGTCACGGAAAACGAAATGAAAGTATGACGGAAAGCAATGTTTGGGTCAGCGGTCCAACATGGCACTCTGTGACGTCAGCTGCATTGAATCTCTATGAATCTGGGTAAGTTAAAACTATTCTGGGATCATGCTGAACTTGACAAATTATCGGGATGTTATCGTTACTTTAAAATTCAAATTATGAGAAACGAGTTTTGTCTTCCTGTTGATGCAAGATTAAAAAGTAATTATAAAAAACGAAACAGTAAAGTACTTTTGTCTTTTTGTCTTCCCAGACCCGTATCCTTAATACAGAACTCTTCGTCATCGTGCCTCGGGAAAATTCTACTTTGCACTGACGGTCTCACAGTAGCTTTTTGGTTCAAGCTCCTTGACAACAGCTCTGACTCGCAGAGGCTGTTATACGCTGCCGAGGACCAGACAGATATCTCAATAACAGCCCAATCCAACCAGATAACCGCTGTCTTTTTTATCTCGTCGAATCCCTTGCTGGTTAGCTTCAACGTCACGCTGCATCAGTGGCATCACGTGACGTTCACGTGGGCACAAAGCGAGGACCTGGTGGCTGTGGTAGACTTTGTACATTGGCTGAAGAGCGGCCCATTCATTCCAGTGACACCAGTCACTGAGGAAGTTCCATTAACCATTGGTCAAGCACCCACCAACATTGCCGTCTACATGAGCCATGTGGTTGTGTATGAAATGTTTCTGACTCCATCGCAGATACAAAGAATTGCAAAGTGCACTGATCTTGTAGCAGGTGAGGGTATTTTAAATCTATTCCAATCCTTCTACGGCACTAATTAACGAATGCTGGTGTAGAAGTAAGAACTGTCCTGAAAGTTCTCTTCACTGTTTAACTGGAGTAGTGTAAGTTTTGAAAGAGAATTAAGCATAATTTAGTAAATTGTTACATGATGGTGCACAACAACCAAAGACGCCAATGCCACTTAGGGCATTGAAGAGATTTCGGCCAAAACATTTCTTCTATTTATTTTTTCCTCAAGCATCTGAGCGGGCCG